GTACTGTAAAAGGGGATAATTGAAACCAATTACGATAGAAAGCAAAATCTGTTTAGGTACAGCAAGACTGAAATTTGTAAATCGTGAATGAAATGTTCAATATAAAAAGGCCAATCTAAAGAATTCATTGAATCAATTTTAAATTCTAAATTACGGTATTTATTCGAATCTAAGCCGCACTTTTTTCTCCATTGTTAATGCTACGGAAAGTGAAAGGGGTTAATTGGATGAAGCTTAGAATCGAAGGTCAAAAAATTCGTTGGATGAGGGAAATTGAACATCATACTGACGATCAGAGCAATTACAGATTCATGTTAGCATTTAAAACTTTTAATACTGGTAAAATTAATTAATGATTCACTCCTTATTAGTTCACATTTTAAATTTTGTAAATATTGTACATCGATGAACCACTTTACACAATTTTTTCACAAAAACGTTTTGAGAATTTGGAGTGTGGTTTAGATTCGATGGAGGCTTAGATTGGAGTAAATACGGTATAATTTGAGGAAGCATCTATAGTGTAGTTAAATCAGTTGAAATTTATATGAAGCTGTTTTTTTAAATGATTATGTTGAAAATAATTTCAATAAAGTAAAATTCAAATTTTTAAAGGAATTTTTTAATAAAATTATTGTATATAAGAGAGAGAGTTCAAGAGAGTTCCATGCGTCAAATAATAAATAACAAAAATTAAAGCATGGTTGTCCTTATTGAACTAATGATGAATAGAATTTTGTCGTTAAGAAGGAGCACACAGTACTAATCCATTAATTAATAAAATTTTATAATAAAGTTGAATGAGTTAAACTAATGGTTAATTGATTTAAATGTTGAAAGAAAATTTTTGAGATTCTGAAGAAGGGAAATATTGTATCAAGTTAAATTAAAAATTTAAAATGATTAAATTTTTAAAAAAGCTTTATTATAAAAAATAAAATCAATACGATTTAAATAAAGAACCAATTTATTTCAATTTAACTGAAATTGAACTTTTTAATTCTTATAAAATTTTTTAATAATTTAAAAAAATAATTTTTTAATTAAAAAAGATAAATTTAAAAGAAAGATAAAAAAAATCAGGCAATTAAGGAACAGCCATTACTGAATTAGTGATTTAGTTTTGTCTTAGTTTAGTCGATAAAAAACTCATTCGTATCAATTACATTTGTAGTTTTCAAACTGAATCATACTTAAATAGAAAAAAAGTGTATTATTCATTTCACATGGTAGAAAATTAAATTTCGAGAAATTATTTTCTCAATAAATTTAAATCATGGAATAGAAAGCAAGCTTTCAGAAATACTTATGAAATCGAGATTTTGAAATACTTGAGAAAAGTTACAGGATTATACCGAAAAATGAGGAATCAAATGGATAATTTCGAATCAAAAAGTTTCAAATCATCGTCAACAGCAACGTTTGTTGTACAATTTGTGGACACTATTGAATCATTAAAATTAAAGAGAAATATTTGAGTAAATATTTGTGGAAATACGTACTGCAATAAGGTTGGTTCTAAATCAGAATGCATTTGTAATTGAATAAATTGTTAAAATCCATAAGTAAAAAAATTAACTTAAAACATATTTTTTATCTTTGGTAGCAGTAATGATACATTTGAGTAACGCAACAATATTGAAACCATCCAAAAAATATATTAAGTTATAATTATAGGCTAGTTCTCTTAGATGACCGTTTTTAATATATCTTTCTTTGGAAAAAGACTCTGTCTTACTTATTTTTACATTTTAAGTAAAATGTCTGACGAATAAGTAAAAACTGTACAAAGAAAGCAACTGGAGTTTTCAATAATTGAGCAAGCACATGTCTAATTGAGACATAGTGACTCCAGTTTACAGGATGTCCCGAAAATCTTGTAGTTTCCAAACTCTGCATAGCTTAATTCCTCACTGACATAAAAAATGCCCAAAGAACTGTACCTGAATGATCCATAGTTTACGAAAAAAAATACGAAAAACCAAGTATGACGTAGAAAGAAAAAACACTGTATTGGACACATCAACTGCAGTATTTGCAGGTATTTAAAAAGGCATATGTTCAAAGTGTCCGTCGTGTATATTGAGGCAGGCTTGAGCACGTTGTGGAATAGAGGCACACGTCGCAGAAGCACGGTGTCCACCGAAGTACAAGCAGCCTGCAGACGAGCCACTAAGTCCATTTGTGAAGTCACTTCATCTCGATACACCAATTCCTTGAGATTGCCTCATAGGAGAAAAATCCAACGATGTGAGATCTAGTGATCGTGGTGGCCATGTCTAGTTCACCCACAAAGTATGTAATATCCATCCAATCACTTACAGAAGCACAGAAATGCGCCCATCATGAACCATTATTCATACATCATCATTTTAACCGTATTTTTCTCGTAGTGGATCATACAAGTACAGTTCTTTGGGCATTTTTTATGTTCTTCCACCAAGGAATCTGGTTGTGCAGAGCTCGGGTGCTATTTTTGGGACAAACTATATAAATGTAATTTTTTTTTTCTGAAAGCTTACTTCAAAATGAAAATTCTAATTATGTTCTTCACAAGACAATATAACTGCTGATAATGAAGGTTGTTGAACGTTAAATGAAACGGTTTTAGTCAACATTGGAGTGGTGCAAAACTTAAAAGATTGAAGTACCACTTCAGATGTTCTTCTGATCTTTTGATTGTAGCTTAGTACATGTGTTGAAATGTGCTATCAAAATAACCCTTGAACATTTCAAAAGAGTTCAAACTTTATTTAACAATTTCTGTTGAATTCCAGTAATTATTTGATACCTTCAATGTGAAGCTAAAATAAAGTATTATAATTATTATTTTTGCATCTTTAATTTCGCAATGTCATTAACAAGACATATTATCTTTCTTTAGATCGTAAAATTGTGGCTTATAGAATGGGTTTCTTTTACCCCTCTAAAACTGTTTTCATTGCAAAGCTACTGTTATCGTAAGGAAACTTTTGTGTCAGCACTTTTGTGTTTTCGTACTTTACAATCTAGCAAAAAATAAGTAAATAAACAAGTAATAGTAATAATAAATAAATCAGATTAATATACTACAAAGTTCATGAAGATTTAATCCATTCAAGTTAAACCAAATCATTCTACCGTATTTATTTGAATCTAATCCTCCATTGATTCTAATCCACACCCCAAATTCACGTTTTTGCGAAAAAATAAAATAGTGTAAAATTGTTCATCGATATCCGATATTTATGAAATTAAAAAAATAAATAGATAAAATGAGAACTAATAAGAAGTGAATAATTAATTTATTTTACCAGTATTAAAAACTTTTAATATATACATGAATCTGTAATTCAGTGATTCCCAAAGTGGTCTATATCGACCTCCACGGTTCTATGATGACCAGCAAGGGGTTCCCATTAGCAAATAAATCATTTGGAGGTTCATGAGGTGTAGTAAAAGGAGGTCTACGATAGTGACTCTCATTAAACCAGATAGTGACATTAGTTTTAAAAGAAAATTTAATCAAATGGAAACCAGATTTCACCTATTTAACATATATTTACTAAATTTAATTAGTTAATATGCAACTTAGGTGACAACATAAATTTTGTTAAAACAAGGACCATCATTTCAGCGTTTATTGGCAGTATTAAGCTAAATGAGTTTAATATTAGACGTGTCACAAATTTTCCCAGTTTCTCAATTGGCTATACACAATCAGCCAAGAAAAGAACGTTCTAACCTGAGTTTAACATTTAAATACCCTTTATTCAGATTTGAAAACCAGGTTTGAGAATGCTTTCATTATGGTAATTACCACAGTAGGCAATGAATTTATTTGGTCACATTGGAGGGAAAAAAGTAATATATTACAAAAGGAACTGATTGAAATAGGCAGTAACAGAGATTTTTTGAAGTAAAGTTTGGAAACGGATGACAGCAATTTTGGCTTTAAAAAAACATACCTGTTATTTATTCCGAATTATAGAGTATTATGAGAAAGTTACTAATTGCTTTTCCATGTGAAAAGGAACTTTAGCGTGGTTGCCAGATCAGGCATCGTCCTCGCCTCTTGACCATGGTTTAAAATTACAAGGTCCGTCACCAATAGTCCTAGGGCAGCATTATAGTCCGATGTTAATATCACACTAACTCATTATCTTTTGTTTAATACATACATTTATATCAGTTAATAAATAATATCTAGTAAAAACTAATTTGTAAACGCTCCAATGTTTTTTTAAAAAATAAGAACTAAGGTTAGAGTTAAGGTATCCGACTACTTGCGAGAACTTTTTTTTTGAAAAAAGGGAGATATGGAGATTTTTTTATGATTTTTAGATTTATTTAATATATTTTAAGAAAAAAAATCCTAAAATTGAAAACAAGAAAAGAATTTATTATTATTAAAATGGAAAAAAGAACAGGTAAAAATGTACAAAAAATTTATGAACAAATTCTCAATTTTTCAATTTTGATGTATTATTTTGTTATTAATATTTCAAATGACCTTCAGAATAAGAAATATTTTAATTTTCACAAAAACTAGAGCAGTGATTACATGGAACTGCTTAAAAAAACAGTGATTATATTCATATAAAGGACTGTAAATTTTGAAATAAAGCAGTGATTGATAAATCTGAAGGTTAAAACACTTCTACTGTTATACAGACCATACACAAAAAATTTCAGCAAATTATTTTAAAAACTTTTTTAGCGATCGCTGTCCCCGTTTGAATTTTTCGAGTAAAACGCATTTTAAAGCTTGACATCTTATGTAAAGTTATTGCATCTGCTTTTACTAAAACACTGGTAGGTTTTGTTCTAGTGAACGGAAAATAAAAACTTGGTACTTTTGTAAAGCTAATATGATAGCCTATACAATAAGGTCATAAAAAAAGTTTGTCAATTTTTGAAAAAAATCATGATTTTAGGGTAGTCGGATACCTTAAATTAACGGGAATATAATCAACAGCTCTCTTGAACTACGGTTATAAAACAAGGCAGAAATTGAGGCACATCCCAAGTAGGGTTTGAACCGACGACCTTTGGATTAGAAGTCCAACGCGCTATCCATTGCGCCACAGGGACTCAACGAGCGATTTTCCTTTCTATATATGCTGTTGAACTATTATTTTTGTTACTATTTATTCATTTTTTGATTTAATTAATGAATTAATATTTGAAAAAACTGTATTAACATCAAGTGTCATCTACTACAAGTTTAAAAAAATATTTTTATACTTGAATGGATGAATAGAAATTATTTTATTAACAATTGAACAAGATATATATATATATATATGCAAATATAAATAAATATATATAGGGAGAGAGTGAACTAATAGTAGGAATTGAAAGATAATTCAAGCGAGTTGCAACAGAATAATACAAGAAGCTAAAAATTATCCTAAAGCTAAATCGAAGTATTCCTAAATCAGAGATTTTCAAACTGTGCGGCACGTGATAAACCTACTTGGGGGAATCAAGCATATCAGAAGGTCGGAAATTTTTTTAAAAATTAGTATTTAAAAGTAATTTAAAATATCTTTTATTTAAAAATAACATATTTAAATTAATTACTGAAATTTTATACTTATCTTGATAATCTGTACGGTGTATAATTAAGGCTGTATTGTAGTTATAGGGTCAAAGTACGTTATTATTGCATTCAATACATTGTTTTTTTATGGGGGGTAAATTGTGATTGAAAATTGAGTCTCAAATATTAGTAGTCTGAGAAGCATTGTCCTTAGCAATAAGTTAAATCTGTATCAAGCTGCACATTGGTGAATGGTAATTATTTTTCTTTTGAAAGTAATATAATTTACAACACCACAATCTTGATTCTCAGTAACATAAAAAATGGCGATATATGCTATTATAGAAAATTCAGTTCATTCCAGCTCCTTGCGTAAACAATTTTAAAAAATGAGATCGACTCAAGGGGATAAATAAGATTCAAAGAACATAAAAACTCACTTACAAATGGGCGAAGAAAATGATGAACACAGCATTTAAAATAAAAGTGAATTTCCCAAAGTTTTAACGCTAGAATCCAATAAATGCTGAAATTTACTAAGATCATTATCTCATTGATTTACAAATCAGTACATACTTAACTTACCTATTCATTTGCTGATATATATATATAATTACTAGATATTTTAACATTGTAAGTATTTACTGATGAAGTTGTATATCTCTGAAAATGAAACATTTTAATGATAATACTCTGCATGGAAAATACTGCTGTAATTATATTTAACAGATTATTCTCTGAGGCCTTTCAATAAACTAATGTAATGATTCTGTAATAAATATTATTTTGGACATTTACCATAAATCAAAATATTTGATCAATTTAAACATATGAAAGGAATAGGTATTGTTTTTGATCTCATGCCACTTCCAAGCGAATATTTTTCTTTTGCTTGTCACTAAAAAGGAAATTATGACTTTGATTTGCTTCACTATTTCGTACTACATCGAAAATTACAGTTCATCGATTCGTTATGCATTTTCATTGTAAAAACTGAGATAATTAAGAATACGAAATATGAATCAAATTAAATATTTTTTGGTAGTTTTTTGAGTATCATGGTAGAAACAAAACATATGTATATACCATTGGTGCACACAAGGGGGGGTGCTGGGGGTCCAGACCCCCCAAAGCCCTTGATTTTTTTCCGATTGATTATAATTCTAAGTATATAGTACGTAAAATTTAACTAAGCATTTGTTATTAATGATTAATTTTATTAATTAATGCTAATTATTTATTCAACAATGAGTTTTTTACTGCGTTTTGTTCCCGAAAATCGACAAAATCAAAAGGAGCATGATACAAGAATGGTGAACTTTCGACCCCTTACCCCCTTGAAAAATTCCTGTGTGCGCTACTGGTATATAAAGGGTGTTTTTTTTAGAGGTATAGAACTTTAAATTGCAATAAAACAACAATGTATTATTCGATTGACATGAATTTTTTTTATTCGAAAGATAATCTTGTGGCATTACATTTTAAATATGATTTCTGGCATAGAACTCGGATGTAGTCCAATTTGGACGTCCAATTTTCGATGACTTTTTTCAACATTTGTGGCCGTATATCGGCAATAACACGGCAAATGTTGTCTTCCAAATGGTCAAGCGTTTATGGCTTATCCGCATAGACCAATGACTTTACATAGACCCACAGAAAATAGTCTAGTGGTGTTAAATCACAAGATCTTGGAGGCCAATTCACAGGTCCAAAACGTGAAATAGGCAGTCACCAAACGTGTCTTTCAATAAATCGATTGTGGCACGAGCTGTGTGACATGTTGCGCCGTCTTGTTGGAACCACAGCTCCTGGACATCATGATTGTTCAATTCAGGAATGAAAAAGTTAGTAATCATGGCTCTATACCGATCACCATTGACTGTAACGTTGTGGCCTTCATCGTTTTTGAAGAAGGATTCCACCAGTCCATAAAGCGCACCAAACAGTCAGTTTTTCTGGATGTAACGGTGTTTCGACATACACTTGTGAATTAGCTTCACTCCAAATGCGGCAGTTTTGTTTGTTGACGTAGCCATTCAACCAGAAGTGCGCTTCATCGCTAAACAAAATTCGCTTATGAAAATCGGGAACAACGGCAATCTCGTTTTGTCCCATTCGACGAATCTACGCCTTGCTTGATGTTCGTTTTGATGAATTGCCATACCAAACTGAGAATAAATCACTTGACAGCTGTTAAATCGGTCGCCATCTTGGAAAGTAATGCCAACTTAAACTTCTATACCTGGAAAAAAACACTCTTTGCTTATACAGAAGATGACACTGAAAATGAGGCAATGTGTTGCATAACTCTTTATAAAGAAAACGGAAAGAACTGAACGATGCAGCCTTTAGTGAAGGTGTAGTGTAAGAGCCGTGCTGCATTTAAATTCACTGAATTCAGATGAACTCAATGAAAAATAATTCATAAATTAAACTAATAATATTTATCAGACAAAAAAACTTGATTAAATCTAAACTTATAAAAAGTATCAACAATAGATGGAATATCTAACAGCCAAATCAAAATATTAGAAGTCATGAATTCAATCTTTCGAGTTAATTTTATAGTTTGCATTTGAACGTCTCCTCGTCTATTTGAAGGGTGGTGCCGACAGCCGATAACGATAAATTATCAATTACCTCAAGCTATATCTTGATAAGTTTGTAAAGAGAGCACTAAAAAAATACTAATTTATAAAGTAATATTCATTTGTATTTTAGTAGGCCTCAATATAATTATGAAATATTTTAAAATTATAAATTTTTTTTACGTAGCTCTCTTTTTTTGAACATTTCAACTTTCATATACATTTCGGGGGAATTGATGCGAAAGTCGAAAGGATATTTGTATTTAAATTTAGTATTAAACTTAATTTAATCAACTTAAGATTAAAAATTATTCTTAATTGTTTGTAACAGACAAGCAGTTATAATAAATATTTTTTGGATACTGAGAAGCATTACTATGAATTCATTAAAATTACTTTCTGACAGAAAGGAATGTGTTACGTATGAGCTCTTAAAAAGACATGCAATTACCCGAAATAAAAATTGGATTTGTGTCTCCCATATTGCATCATACAATCCACATTCATACTGCATAAGGCAAATTCCTTTTTCACAAAGCACATTCATTATTTCGAAAATCAAAATTCAGTGTTGTTTAAATCAAATTTTTTTCTTCATATATGAAGTTTTTATGCTAATAAATTTCTTTGAATTGTTACTTGTCAATTTCTTAAATATATATTGAACACAAAATTACTTTAAAAATATTTCGAAACTTAGTTATCTATTTATAAATTTTTTTTTGTCAAAAAATTAAGAATATAATTAAATTTTTAGAATTGATTAATCTTTTGTTAGAGTCCATATAGTTGAAAGAAAATATTCATTGGAAACTTTAACAATTATTTTTGGTATAAGTTTCTCTTTTACCCCCTTCAAATTTTCTTGTCATAAATTTATGAACTTTAAATAAATAAATTAAATGTCAGTATATTGAAACCCTTTTTTTAAACAAAAAGTAAAATTTCTTTTATTATTTTAACTATTCATTAATGATTGCAAACCAGTTGTGTTAACCGAAAATTAGTTGTTTTGTAACAAATAAATCGTTAGATATAGCAATTTTTCAAAAGAAAAAAAACTGCCGCAGAAAAAAATGATTTTTTTTTAAAATTTAGAATTTGATCTGTAAAATGATGGATTTAATTTCATTTTAAAGGAAAAGGTGAATTCGACTCTTAAATTTTGTAATTTCGCTGATGGTTGGAAGAAATTCACAGAAGACAAAAATCGGTTGTTGTCATCTCGAACGTTTTCGAAAAGAGAGTGAATGTGAAAATCAATTATTTCTTTATCTTGTCTTAAAATATGTTATTGGCAAGTAAAAGCTTCAACTATATTTTTTACAGCATGTGAACAAAAAAAATATGCATCATTGACTATATAGGCTAAGTGTACTATTTTAATGCTATTTTTAAACATTCATTTATCTCAATTACTGTTAATAATTATGTTCTTTTGAAGACCTGAATAATAAGAATTGAAGCCCTCAGTGGTTTGATATATTCGAAAATTCCCTCAGTGTTTTGATATTAGAAAATTGATTCCGTGTTTCCTCTGTCAGGAAAAGGATTTCAACCAGTGGCGTAGCTAGGTGTCCAAAGACTCTGGTGCTAAAAAAAATGAGGACCCTATCTTGGTTGGATTTTATCAAGTAAAAAATTAAAAATATATGAATTTTTTAAATATACAAATTATCGCAAGTTCAGCTTGCTTGGTAGTCCGAGGGCCCCCCTGAGTTTTAGGGCCTCGATGCACGGCTTCGCCTAGCCCATTGGTAGCTACGCCACTGATTTCAACTAGATCAGGGGTGAGTAATCCGGGGTCCGGAGGCACCCAGATAAACCGAACTTAACCGGATCCAAGAGCCCCTCCTTGGATCCAACAGTGCCAAGGGGGCCCCCAGATCTTCTGCGACTAGGGCCCGAAATAATCTTAAACTGGCACTTATTCCCCCCCCCCGAACTATAAGGAAGTG